CTCCTCCCTGCATTGTGTGGCGTCGTTGAGGTTCCTCTCGAGGAGTCAGGGCTTCGGGTGAAAACCCTTGACCAGTCCATCGGTTTCGACGACGGCGGCACGGTGTGTCATCTCCCTCTTGAGGTCGTCGTCGTTTAGCCCAGGTTACCTCTAGTGCGCCACGCTGTCATAGGCAGACATTCTCAGATCCTATCTTGGAGCTCCGTCAAATCTAGCATAGGCGGATTCACTTACCTCATATGTTTTACATGGGTCCTCTTTGGTTCCTTTCAGGTCCGCGTTTTCCACAGGCAGGTCCGGGCTCCACGATCCGGAGCGGGAGGGCAGGGGCCCCTCTTCGGCGGAGTCTTGGAGTGAGTGGCCTCTCCAATTTTCTTGCATTTTCCTTTGATCTGCTTTGTAAGAGGTTCTTTATCATCACCATGTATCGGTTTCGCTGTGTTGCTTTATATATAAAGTGGGACGGAAGCCTTTTTCAGTAAAGGTTATTGAAACGAAATCCCAGTGAAAAAATTCAAACCTACAGAAACATCTAGTATCTCAAAATGTATGCACCATATTCTCAGTTCGTGAAACTGGAGTTGATCTTGTTGGAGCATCTCTAGCAGATGCGTCAATAGCTAAATTTGAGGACAAAGATTTCGTTTTAGTGAATTAAGCATCAGCTACAAGATCCCCTAAATCATTACCGCATACAAAATTTGACTTTTGAAAATTACTCAATGTTTTGTAGGACCGATGGTCCACCGTATTATATTGAAGCATGAGGAGGCATTGTTATCGCCAATGAAGAATGATATTCATTTGAACAATGATAGCCTCCCTCCATTGAAGATTAATAAATATTATCATTTGTAGTTATCTCGTTTTCCAACTAGATATGAGCAAGTACATTGGTTGTGTAAAGAGTGCTTTTAAGGTGTGCTTTTGACTCAAATATCTGAAATGATATTTCAGTTCTATAATATTAAGTTTGAATTTTGTTACTTTACCTGATTTTAATTGATAAAGGAGGCTATGATCCTTTCATTATTCAGATTCTTTGGTCTCTAAATTAATGAGGTTGTTAATATTCAAATGTTCGATGCTGCATAAAGTGGTGGTTAACGATTCTATAGGTGGTTGAATTGAATTTATAGTAAATGTAATGGTCGTTGAAGGATATCAAAATGGTACAGAGAATGGTCGTTACTAATACAAAGAGGACGTTAATGATACTTCGGTCAACCATGGAAAATTTATTTATGATGAAAAAGGTGGCCGTGACCATTGTGGTTCTTATTGCCTCACGATTGACGATGACACACCATCCAATCTTTACAAGAATAAGGACGGGCAAAATATGCAATCATTATTAAACAATGGAGTCTATAACAACGGCTAACAACCACTAGATTGTGGTCATTATTGATGTTTAGCGACCACAACCTAACTTTTAATAACTCCATATACCGCCATTAAAAACGTTTTTTCTTGTAGCGGCTTGTGATCCAGCCGAGTCTGTATGCAAACTACATGTGTGTAGTGAAAATAAGCTGCCTTTCCACCTGTACACAAGCACGTACCGGAGGCTATTTAGTACTCCCTCCGTTCCCAAATAAGTGACTCGACTTTGCACTAATTTTATAAAGTTAGTACAAAGTTGAGTCACTTATTTTTGGACGGAGGGAGTACAAGCTAGCCAGATCAATCTGTCTTGGATTTGATGATCACATGACCGTGTCAGTTCTGTGTTATTTTCCTTGCTTGATCTGAGCTTGTTACCCATGGGTTACACAAGTGTAAACATATGCTATACTAGCTAACTACAAGTAGAACTCAATGATTGATTCTTGCCCAACCCGGATTTAGACTCGTGGTTATTTCCGACAAATTGCAGATGCAACAATTGACAAATCCAGTCTGTGCAGTAATTACAGTACAATGTAGTTGTAAAATACTGGTGTTTGAACTCTCTATAGAGGCGTCTCTACAACAAGTGCAGCAGTGCAGATATGACTATATATCGAGAAACTGAACAGGCTACTGTACATAGATGGAGCCATCATATACATGTCTCCTGGAATCTCACTCGCACCCCCCGACCTAGGGTTCCTCCCTCCCTCCCACCGCCGCCGCCGGCCATCCTAGGCCCCGCCACCGCTGCCGGTCGCCGGCCGCCCCCGCCCCCTCCCCCCCTCCCCCTTCCCCCGGATCCGCTCCGCACCGCCTCCCCGATAGGTGGCCGGGGCAGCGCGAGCCCTGCCTCCCCTTCGGCCGCCCTCGTCGCTCCTTTCCTCCCTGCTGCCGCCGACGGGCGCCCCCGGCGCTGGCCGGGTGGTGTTGGCGGCGGCGGGGCCTGCCTGTCCCTGCACGCGCGGCTCCTTGCCCGGGG